GCGCTGATAGCATTTCTCTAATTATTGTTATTGCGAAATGGTCATTCTTAACTAATTTTTTTTGATAGTCCTCGCCATTACTGGTTAAACTCTCTCCACTGGCTTGTCGCAACTTGTCGCAATTGAGCAATAGCCATGGAGTCCCTTGGCGATTGAAATACAGGTGAGTTACTAGCATCACCAGGACTTTTGAACAGGTTTACTCCTGCGGGGAATCGAACCTCAGCATCGGCGCTCCCAATCGTGTAACAACCCAATGGGCTATTCTATTCCCATTCCTGATTAATGATTAAGAATGACTGAGAATGGATAGGAGGAAAGCAATTGAATTATGAATTTCGCTTTGACATTTGACACTGACATTTTTAAGAATTTTTAATTTTTAGAATTTCCTCAGTGGTAGATTCAATAGTATAGTGTTGCAGTATTAAATAATTGATTGTTGTTTCATTGTTAAGTTCTAAGGGGTATTTAAATTTTACCAGAAAATATGGATCTCTATGGGTATTGGCCATTAAGAGAACATTAACAATCCGTGCAGTCAAAGTAATTTTCCTTTTCATCTTCATCTGCTTCAAAACTCTGTTATTTTCTCCCTTTTCTCTCTGTAAGCTTCCAATAGTAATGTTGTTAATGTTGAACCACAGGTATATCCATCACTAAATGATCTCCCAGGTTAGATTTTACTTATCCCATAAGCCAGCAGATTCTACTAATCCCTGAATGTCCACTGATCCACTGATCCATCGAATTATCCGCTGATCCAGCGATTTTTCGACAATTTTTCGGAAATATTCAAGTTTATCATAGATCCAATGGCAATTGTCGGTTTTGAAATTTTTTAGAACGAAATTAACCCACAAAAAAAGCTAAAAACATAATTGACCTATTTACATTTATATATTTCTGCTCAACCCAAAGTAAATAATAAATAATAAATTACCTGAAAAAAAAAGATTTTTTATAATGTAACGCCCACTGAACTGATAACAGTTCATAAAACATTGCTTCCTAAAGTTATTAGCCTGTTCAAAATAATTATAAAAAGATTGTTTATTCGCAATATCCACTGCTATCAAAATCAGAGAAAGTTTTCCTGTTTGAAAAGCGCTATTTTAAACTTCGCTGCTAATGCGACTTGTGCAGAATTGATTTTGTATTTGACTGTAAAAATCCAGGTTTTTCTCAAATAATACATCAATGATGCCCGAAAGCAATCTATGTGATCGACCAGGAGTTCATGGGCAACGTTGAGATACCAGACCGATATGCGACACTCTGAGATGTATCGTAGACGCGTGTAAAAATGAAAGAATTGCTCGATTATACATGAAAATTGCAATGTAACATATTTGTCAAATAAATTCGCCTTTGTCGGAAGAACATTTGAAAAAGTAAAGTAGTTAATTTAATATTTAATACTTAAGCCAAATTATTAAATTATTATTCATTAAATAAAACAATAAATTGCAGCTTCAAGCTTCCTCAAATAGATGCGAAGGATAACAGAACTTAATTGCTAATATGCACCTTTCTACTTTCAAAGGTGTTTTTTTTTCTGCAGTTTCATAAAATGCATAAATGCATATTTTTTTATTTGAATATGCCGGTGATTCTTTTTAATATATTGGTACTTTTTTTTGAGAAATTAGGTTTTTCTAGTGAGTTTTTATCGGATAAAGTAATTGCCCTTCAAAAATGGTTAATCCGAAAAGAATAACGAGGACCATAAGCTTAAGTCCCTAAGCCTAGTTTAAGAGGTTCTGATTAACTGGTCATCATTATCACCATCGGACCCCTCATTCTATTATTACGAAATGTAAAAAAGCTTCATAACTTGGGTCAAATAAAAGCATAGAAATCGATTTTTGATTGGACAAAATATTTTCCATTTCATTGGTCCCATAAAAACTTATTATTTTGAAAAACTAATTTTTCATTAACAAATATTCAGAGAAATGAATTGAACCGTTTCGATCTCCTCCGTCGTTAGAATAACCCAATATGTGCTGCATTATATATTTCTCCCTTCGTAGTTATTGCCGATAAACTTGGACTCCCATAGCAGAGCGACATTTAAACGGCTCTTCAAAATATTAAATTCTTTATGTAGAGTCTCTAAATAAATAAATAAAAGTATACGAGAATTTGCATCTCTTCTTGCATCTTTAAAATAAATAAAATATATAAAACTTGCGTTTTCTAACACTTAAAGTATAAGCGATTCGGTAGATTATTTTGTAAATATAGTAATTTAAGTGAGTTTAGAGTTTACAAAAAATTTTTTAACATTCTAACAGTTTGCTTTATCATTAACTTATTTACAACAAACGCTCATATAATTTAGATTCTTTAAGGATTTATGATTATAAAGATTTAAAAATATTATAAAAAATACTATTTTGTTGATTTAGTAATAAATAATACGCTTCGTCATATAATTCACCATATATACAATGCTGAAAGTAATAATAGATTATTTATTTGATTTATTTTTATCAGAGTTGAATGATTAAGTATAATGAATGAGGAAGCAATGAAAAACAAAAGCCTAAAGCAAATAAACGAAAAGCACAAAATTACCCACTTATTTTTCTTTTCTTCTATTCACGAGGGTTATGACGATTTGTAATACTCAGAAATATAAAAAGTTATCGATTATTATTATTAATAAATTATTAAAATAATTAATATAATTTTAAAAAATGATGCTATCAATCAATAAAGGTATACAAAGACTTGTTGCTTTTACAGTTTTTAAAACATTTATGTTTAAAAATTCAAAAATGAACTCATCTAACAAATCGGTTTGACTTGAATTTCCCTAAATTATCCAAAAAATTGAAAAAAATAACGTTTTTGAATTTGAATTTGCATTTTAAAACATTTCATTTGGGATGAAATTAATGAAATAAATTAAAAAAAGGATAAATAAATAAACACATTTTATCCATCTGTCCATCGCCCGGCATTTCACAATTATGAATAAATTGACCTCCAGTAATAGCACCCTCCATCATTCCTTTCTTTCAATAGATAATTCGTTTTCACAAATATTAATAGAGAATTCATTTAAATACCTAAATGGGCGACATAATAGCCATGAAATGGATAATACGAGACATAAAAACACATATTAGCGACAATTGGTCTCCACTGCGACAGAGCTGATGGCACTTGATTCAGGAATGGCTTTCTAATATTTTCTATACCATTTTATTTCTCAAGAAAGTCATGGGTTACAAATTTATTGGATTAGAAAAGCCAGAAAACTATTCGAAGGAAGCATAGTGATAGCAAATGATAGTAGATTGGCCAGATTTTGATTACGAAGAAATAAAAAATGTTGCCTCGCGATTTCAACTAATAAAAGTCCCAGTCAAATTGATAAAAGATTTTATAACAATCTTGATAATTCAATAATTCATTAATAATTTCGTTTACTACAAACTGATAAAATAAGAATGATAAAATAAATTCGATCGATTTATTGGCTAAAAAATGATGATTTTAGATCATTTGATTTTATTTTGATTTTCTTGGTATTCCTTTATTGATTGATAGCATCATTTTTAAAAATTATATTAATTATTATTTTTACTAAATCATTAAAATAATTTTAATTTTAACAATTTTTTAGATTTTAATATGGAAATTTTATTAAATTCGTTTTTTCAAATTCTTATTCTTGCTACGGTACTTCATCGTTTTGTGGGGAGGGGTTTTTTAAGTTTTTTTGTTTTTTGTGAGCATTTTTATTATTTTCATTCGAATTAACGATTCCATCGACGACATTAATTAATTATTAATCGACATTATTTATTACCAGTTTATTTATGTTTTCTATAATAAATTTTACTTACATAAAAATTTATTATATTATTACATTATTTGAAGTTTCTTTTGAGTAATAGTTTTATTGAATTCTTTTGGCAAATTTTGTGACAATGTAATTAGTTTATTTTATTAGTTTATTTTACATCTTCTTGTTTAAATAATTAAAATAAAATAATAAATAATTTATGAAGAAAAATAAACAATAATAACAGTAAAGAATATAAAAACAAGTGCCATGTTTTTCTTTTGTAATCTTTTATAATCTTTTTTCCTATTATTTTGAAATTTCGGTTCAAAAGAATTGAAAGAAATATATTAAATTTGATAAAATTGCCATATGTTTTTTCGCTATTATGTCGATTATGTATTCGCGTCGTCGCTATTCTGTCGTTACATTTAAGCGAGATTTCCTTAATAATGCTTCGATAATTTGTTTGATATTAGATGCTTTACTGCACCATGTTCATTAACTCTAAAATAGTATTTATTCGTAAAGTAAGACTTTTTTCACTTTTCATTTTTCACTTTTAATGCACAGGAGAATCCCACAGCCCATAACATGGGCATTAATTCTTCATTTGCAACTTATATTTTTATATACTAATATACTTTTGTCAAGGTCGTATAAGAAGAGACCAAATCCAAAATAAATGTACCATTCGTTATTAACTCTAACGCAATTGAGGATCTCTTCGAAGATTAGCGTTGAGCAAAGCCGTACAAATCCTTTTCATTAATCAAATTATCATTTATTTGGTTTGGTGAGTTCGTGTTCATGTTCACTGAAATTATTTTGGTTCTAATTTGAGGGTTGTTGGTTTGTGGATTTTGATTTTTTTTTCTTGATGGATTTTACATATTATTGCGTGTTTATATGAATTGTTTTGGTTTTTTGATGTTTAATTTTTTAGTTATTTTTTGTTTTTCTGAGATGATAATGTTGGTGTTGGAGAGTTTTATTTTTGTAATTTTGTTGTATAAGCTGGTGGTTTTGTTGTTTTGGAGATATTTGTTGTTGGGACTTTACTGTATTTGCATGGATTTTTTTCGTTGGTTAGGTTGAGAGTTCTTTTGTTTATTACAAATGGTATAACGTTTGGTTTGAGAGAACAAATCATAACGATATTGGTTCTTTGTATTTGAATTTTGGTTTCTGATCTGGTATGGTTGATGCTGGTTTGTCTATTTTGGTCCGTGCGGAATTTTGTAAGCCTGATTTTTTTTGGATATAGATCAGTTGTGTAATGGTGTTATTATTACTTCTCTTGCTATTATGATAGTTTTTTTTACGGTGATGCCTAGTTTAATTCGATGGTGCCTTTGATTGCTCCTTATTAGGTGCTCCTGATATGACTTTTCTTCGTTGGAATAATACGAATTATTGGTTAATGCCAGTATCTTTGATAAATCCAGTATTTTTTTTTCTGCTTGTTTGATAGATAGTTCCTGTGGTACTGATTGGACTGTCTACCCTCTTTTAAATACCAATGGTCATAAGGTTGATTTGGCCATTTTTAGTTTGCATTGTTCTGGAGTGAGTTCTATTTTGGGAGGTATTTATTTTATGGCTGCTGTTTAAAATATGCGTAATGCTTCTATTACTTTGCATCATTTATGTTATTATTTATTGTGCTTGTTTATTTGGACTGAATTTTATTGCTGTTTTCCTTTTGGTTTAATTAGATGGTGCCTTTTGACTTTGCCTGTTTCGGCTGGGTATATTGTTAATGGTTCGTAATTTTAATTATTTCTTTTAGTAGTGGTGATAATCCTTTAACTTATCATCATTTATCTTGGTTTTTTGGTCATCCTGAGGTCTATATTTTGATTTTGCCTGTTTATGGTATTGTTAGTTTGTATTTGACTGGTAAGAAAGGAGCTTTTGGTTCTTTAGGTATGATTTATGATGGTGCCTTCTTTGACTTTGTTGTATGAGTATATAAATATAATAAATGATATGATAGTGAATTTTAGTAGGGATTTGAGTGTTGATGTTGGTGTTGTCATTAGAGGTGTTGGAGTTAAGAGTATTCATTCTGACTATACTGAAAATATAGGATTTGGTTCTTATATGTTATATAGTGAGGATATGTCATTAGGGGATATAGATAATCGTTGTTTTATTCCTAGGAGAGTTAGGATGGGTTTTTTGATTGGTTCTGAAGATGTTATTCATTCTTGGGCTTTACCTTATGTTATTGATGCTGTTAAAATTGATGCTGCTGGGAGTGGTATTTTTCGTGTACTTGTAATATTACAACAAAAAACAACAAAACAGCATAACTAAATACAGATCTATAACTACTAACAACCACTCTTAAAAACATAATAACCTCTAAATCAAAAATAACAAACATCAACATCATAATAAAAAAATGTACACTAAAAGACCTACAAATAAAACCTAAACTCAAAAATTAATACATCAAAAATCACACTCAAAAGATCGATCTCACCTTTACCTAAAACTCTCATCAGCAAAACCACCAAATAATAAGAATGAAAAACAAACAGGCAAAATCTAACAACAAAAATCTCAAAATAACTTCAAGTATAAAAATTTAAATTTTTAATAAAAAGATGTAAATTTTTTAAATTAATGAGTTACAAAAAAATAACAAAAAATTTATTAGACAAAATATTTTAAAAAATTTATGAAATTGCAAAAAATTTCGTTTATAACGCCAATTACTAAATTTTTCGCATACACGCAATATTAATATATAACAATTATTTTATATAATTAATTTCGCATTTGTCAGCAATAATAATAATAATGGTACCAACATTAATCATTAATGCATTAGTGATAAAATGATAACAGCACACAATTTAGGCTATCAAAATTCAAGTTTATCATAGATCCAATTCAAAAAACAATTCACCAATGTACCCTTTTATATTTCTGCTCAACCCGAATATATTTCTATAATAGTCTGAAAAAAAATTTTTCATAATATAACGCCCACCGAACTGATAATAGTTGATAAAACTTGTATTTTGTTATATTGCTTCCTAAAATTTTTAGCCTTTTTTAAAATCATCATAAAAAAGACTATCCGCACTATCCATTGCAATCAAAATCAGAGAAAGTTTTCCTGTTTGAAAAGCGCTACTTTAAATATCGCTATTAATGCGACTTGTGTAGAATTGATTTTGTATTTGACAATAAAAATCCAGATTTTTATCAAATAATTCATCGATGATGCTCGAAAGCTTGCGGTGTACGTGACCGACCAGGGATTCTTGGGCAGCGTTGAGATACTAGACCGATATGCGACAATGTGAGATACGTGTAAAAATGATATAAAATGATATAATGATAAAATGAACTGCTTCTTCAAGGTTTATCTTATTCTTTGGCAATACTATATCTTTTTGCTATCTAATCGTGGTTTTATTGTGATATTTGTAATTATAGTAGTAGTATATCTGATATTTGTAAGAGTATAATAGTATTGGTTGTTCGTAAGTGAATTAAAGGATCTCATAGTTCACTTCACCAGTTCACTTTTCTAGGTATTTTCCTTTCGTTCAATGAAGGAAAAGCGGTAAAAATGATATAAACATAGGCTCAAATGAAAGTTCTCGTAGCAGGTTTATGATTCTTCCAAAATCAGTAACATTTCCTTATTCGGCGGACAACCCAGGAATTTTCCAACGTTCCGCAGCAATTATATTATAATTAACCAAATATTTCGAAATATAAAGATAATAAAGAATATACAAAAACTATTTACTTAAATAAAATAAAAATAAATAAAATGTTTGAATAATCCAAATAATCAGCAATTAATTAACAAATTATTGTAATTATTAATTAATATAATAATTAAAAAATATAATAATTAATATAATAATTGAATAATCATAAAGAATATTTTTAGATTTTCCGTTACTGATAGCTATAGAGTTTAGCAATGAAATGCAAATAAATGCTTAGCTAGTACTTGGCTGGAAGGTAATAATAATATAATTTGTCACATTAGAAAGAGAAATAAAGCATGCATTTGACCTTAGAGTTTTCTTTTCTGCTATTATCTGTTACTATCAGCTATTATAATGGTATCAGATAGAGCAATTTACACTCTTCACATTTGGTGTGCTCCTCATGAGTGCTAAAGAATACATGTCAATAATATGTGTCAAAAATAAGCAGTAAAATTATTATAATTAAAATAAAATTATTTCTTGGATGCAGTAGATGCTCGCGAGCCGCGAGATAGTTATGTTAATAATAATAATAAGCAGGAAAATTTTCTCTGATTTTGATTGCAGTGGATATTGCGGATAAATAATCATTTTTATAATGATTTTAAAAAGGCTAAAAATTTTAGGAAGCAATGGATAATAAAATGCAAGTTTTATCAGCTATTATCAGTTCGGTGGGCATTACGCGTTGAAAAATTTTTTTTCAGACTATTATAGAAATATATTCGGGCTGAGGAGAATCATAAAAGGGTACATTGGTGAATTATGCTTTTTATGTATGTTTTTTGAATTGGATCTATGATAAATTTGAATTTTGATAACCTAAATTGTGTGCTTTTTTTCCTTCAAGAAGCATGTTTCCCATTTCAATTGTAATTTACTTACATGATTTATTTACAATTTATTTATTTTTCTATGTTCATACAATTTTGAATAATTAACCTTATTATATTGTAGTTTATTGTAGCTACGAATCATTATTAATATTTATTATTTTTTGCTGTTATCATTTTATCACTAATGCATTAATGATTAATGTTGGTACCATTATTATTATTGCTGACAAATGCGAAATTAATTATATAAAACAATTGTTATTTATTAATATTGCATGTATGCGAAAAATTTAGTAATTGGCGTTATAAACGGAATTTTTTGCAATTTCATAAATTTTTTAAAATATTTTGTCTAATAAATTTTTTGTTATTTTTTTTGTAACTCATTAATTTAAAAAATTTACATCTTTTTATTAAAAATTTAAATTTTTATACTTGAAGTTATCTTGAGATTTTTGTTGTTAATAGATTTTGCCTGTTTGTTCTTCATTCTTATTTATTATTTGGTGGTTTTGTAGATGAGAGATCTTGAGATTTTTGTTGTTAATAGATTTTGCCTGTTTGTTCTTCATTCTTATTTATTATTTGGTGGTTTTGTAGATGAGAGTTTTAGGTAAAGGTGAGATCGATCTTTTGAGTGTGATTTTTGATGTATTAATTTTTGAGTTTAGGTTTTATTTGTAGGTCTTTTAGTGTACATTTTTTTATTATGATGTTGATGTTTGTTATTTTTGATTTATTTGGTGGTTTTGTAGATGAGAGTTTTAGGTAAAGGTGAGATCGATCTTTTGAGTGTGATTTTTGATGTATTAATTTTTGAGTTTCAGGTTTTATTTGTGGATCTTTTAGTGTTCATTTTTTATTATGATGTTGGTGTTTGTTATCTTTGAAGAAAGAAAGAAAGAAAGAAATATTAAAATTACGATCCATCAACAACATATCCGGCCGAAACAGGCAAAGTCAAAACCAACAGCAATAAAAATCAGTCAAAATAGACAAAGACAATAAATAATAAATGCTACAAAGAAATAGAAGCATTAGGTATATTTTAAACAGCAGCCATAAAATACCATAAAATAAATACCTCCCAAAATAGAACCAGAACAATGCAAACTAAAAATGGCCAAATCAATCTTATTACCAAGATGACCATTAGTATTTAAAGGAGGATAGACAGTCCAACCAGTACCACAAGAACTATTTATCAAACGAGCAGACAAAACTAACATTGTCATTAACCAATAACTTGCATTATTCCAACGAGGAAAACTCATGTCAGGCGCACCTAATAAGGAGGAATCAAAGGTACCATCCAATTAAACTAGACATCAGCATAAAAAAGATTATAATAGCAAGAGAACTAATAACACCATTACACAACTGATCTCTACTCAAAAAAAAAATCAGGCTTGTAAAACTCCGCACGAATCAAAATAGATAAACCAGCATCAACCATACCAGGCCAGAAACCAAAATTCAAATAGAAAGGACCAATATCCTTATGATTTATTCTCTCAAACCAAACATTGTACCATTTGTAATAAACAAAAGAACTCTCAACCTAATCAACGAAAATAATCCATACAAATACACTAAAGTCCCAACAAAAAACACTTCCAAAAAGTAAGGGGTACGACAAACCAAAATCTACCACAAATAAAGTACCTCACCAATCAAAAAATTTATATAAACTCCTAACATGATAAGAAATCTCGCTAAGTAAAATCCACCAAGACAAACCAACAACCCTCAAATTAGAACCAAAATAACTTCAATGAACACAAATACAAACAAATCAAACCAGATGATAATTTAATTAATGAAAAGGATTTATACGGCTTAAGCTTAGGTCTCAGTGCTAATCTTTGCAGCACGCATCCTCAATTGCGTTAGAGTTAGTAAATAACGTATAGTACATATATATTGGATCTGTTCTTATAGGCCTTTGACAAAATTATATAAGTATATAAAAGTATAAGCTGCAAAAGAAGAATTAATACCCATGGGCTGTGGCATTCCCCTGTGCATTAAAAGTGAAAAAAATTATCTTATTTTACTAATAAATATTATGTTAGAGTTAATAAATGTGGTCCAGTAAAGCATTTAATATTAAATTATCGAAATATTATTATGGAAATTTCGCTCAAATGAAGCGACAAAATAGCGACGAAGCGAATACAAATCGACATAATAGCGAGAAAAAATATACGGCAATTTTAAAAAGTTTAATGTTTTTCTTTCAATTCTTTTGAACTGAAACTTCAAAATAATAGGAAAAAAGATTATAAAAGTGATGAAAAGAAAAACATTGCACTTGTTTTTTAATATTCTTTAGTGTTATTATTGTTTATTATTATTACAAATTATTTATTATTTTATATTTATTTAAACAAGAAAATGTAAATAAATTGTATTTTGTATTGTATTTTCTCTAATTGTATTTTCTCAAAATTTACCAAAAGAATTCAATAAAACTATTAATCAAAAGAAACTGCAAATAATGTAATATTATAATAAATATTATTGTAAGTAAAATCTAATATAAAAACACAAGTAAACTGATAATAATAATGTCGATGGAATCGTTAATTCAAATAAAAATAATGAAAATGCTGACAAAAAACAAAAAACTTAAAAAAACCCCTCCCTGCAAAACAATGAAGTCCCATAGCATGAATAAAAATTTGAATAATAAACGAATTTTAAATTGAAAAAAATCGCTTCAAGAGAAAAATTATTGAAAAAGAAAAGTTAAAAGCACAAAATTATCAACTTGTTTTCCTTTCTTTCTTTTTACGAGGCTTATGAGATTTGTGATACTTAGAAATATAAAAAGTTATCGATAAACTGAGAGAGAAGAAATGGCTAAATCAGGCGAATTACGGAGAATATTTTATTTTTAATAAAATTTGTACGGAAAATCAATTGGTAGTTATGTAAAAGCCAAAATTTATAGTTTTTTAATAAAATTTCTAAATTATAATTTAAAATTATTTAAAAATTATTTTAATAATTTATTAATAATATTAATTAATATTATTTGTAATTAATAAATAATTACAATTATTTTTTAAGATAGAAATTTACTGATTCCTTTCATTTTACATCCATTCAAAATTTTTTTTCTTTTTAAATTTTTAAATTTTTAATGATAATGAATTGGTGATTTATTTAGTTTAAAGACAGTAAAGGTTTTTTTCTGTAATTGTTTATTTTTACAGTTTGTAAAAGATAAATAATTCACTTTTATAATTCTATAATTATTCAATAATATTAATCGAGATTTTCGAAATCGAGATTTTCATCCACGATTATTCCAAGGTAAGAAATGTATGAGTTTCTTGTGATTATATTACCATTAATAAAAAGATTAAGAAAATCGAATCCTTTAGAATTGATATGAAGAACGCTATATTTTTGAAAGGAAAGGGTAATTTATAGCCAGCTGGCTATTCTGTTGAGGTTCTCATGCAGTGGGGATAGGTGAGAACAGCTCTACAGTGAGAATAATAAATTTTACAATCAAATAATAAATTGATTGGTTCTGAAGATGTTATTGATTCATTAAAATTGATACTGTTGGTGGTGCTACTTCTCGTTTTATTTGTATTTTAAATGTGAATAATAATAAAACCGTAAAGAATATTTAATATTTAAGAATATATCGGTTTTATTCCTTATTTACTTTAGATGGTTTTACTGGTGCGATCTTAGGAATTTCAGTATATCAGTTGAATTTAGTGTGGTTCATTGTCTTTATTCTGGTTTTGATCCTTTTGATCCTTTTGACTTTAGTATAATTTAGTATGTTTGATTTCCAATCCTACGGTTGATAAATTTATATACTTTTATTTATATACTTATATAATTCATAAGTTTATTTCAATAATTTTAAAAATAATGTAAAAATACAAAAGAAATAATTCGGTGATTTAGATTTAAGGGCGACAATGGCCACAAGTGAGTCGACATACTCTGCTCATTACTTTCCCATATTCACCGATGAAACAATATTTGGCATTTTCTCGGCATCGAGAATCTGAATCGAAACATGTTGGCGATTGAGTCGTTCGATTATTCTCTAAAAATTACAGATTTCATAGCCACAGATTTTAATGATGCGAGCAATCTATGGCAAACATATCGAAAAAGAACCTGGCAAACAATCTCTTAAATTGCATGTCTTTTTGCAAAATTTCTTCATGAAATCTGTGTTACAAGTTGGATCGCCAAGAAGTCTTATCGCGCAGTGCTCGTCTTGATCTGGACAAACTCCAAGTGCACCTGGTTTATCGCAGAGTCCACATGTATGTGGGCATTTTCTTAATGCAATATCGCTCAATCGCTGATCTGTGCACAAATTGCCACCGTTGTTCAAATGTCGACAAGCATCATCCGCTTCTCCTGCTGAAAAAAAGATCAAGAAAAATTTTATTGGCCTGCAAAGATCTTTCTAAATGTTGAAAACAAATTTACCATTTGAACAATCAAACTGCTTCGTTTTACAACAAAATGCGCAATGACTCGCACATTCGCGAAGTGCGAGGCTTTTTAAGGCAGCGTTTTCACAGAATTGACTAACTAAATAATTTGNATTATTAATATTATTAATAAATTATTAAAATAATCTTGATAATTTTTAAAGAACTTTAAATTTTAATTTAGAAATTTTATTAAAAAAGTATAAATTTTGGCTTTTACAGGATTGCCACTTGATTTTTCGTAAATTTAGTTTATTAAAAATATTCTCTGTATTTCGCTTGACTTTGCCATTTCTTCCCTCTCGACTTATCGATAACTTTTTACTTCAGAGTATCTCAAATCGTCATAACGCTCGCAAATAGAAAAAAAAATCGTGGAGATTTTTTTTTCTTAAATTTCTCTTTTCAATATATTTCTCTTATTCTTCAATTTAAAATCCTATCATTCAAAATTTTCTTTGCTGCGGTATTTTATTATTTCGCGGGGAGGGGTTTTTTTAAAGTCTTTTATTTTTTTGTCAGCATTTTCATTATTTTTATTTCAATTAACGATTCCATCGACATTATTATTATCAGTTTACTTGTGTTTTTATATTAGATTTTACTTACAATAATATTTATTATAATATTACATTATTTGCAGTTTCTTTTGATTAATAGTTTTATCGAATTCTTTTGGTAAATTTTGAGAAAATACAATTAGTTTATTTAAATGCAAAATAATAAATAATTTATGAAGAAAAATAAACAATAATAACAGTAAAGAATATTAAAAACAAGTGCAATGTTTTTCTTTTTATCACTTTTATAATCTTTTTTCCTATTATTTTGAAATTTCAGTTCAAAAGAATTAAAAGAAAAACATTAAACTTTATAAAATTGCCATATGTTCTTTCTCGCTATTATGTCGATTTGTATTTGCTTCGTCGCTATTTTGTCGCTCCATTTGAGCGAAATTTCCTTAATAAAGTTTCCTTAATAATATTTCGATAATTTAATATTAGATGCTTTACTGCACCATGTTAACCTTTATTATTAACTTTATGTTTATTAACTTTAACATAGTATTTATTTGTAAAATAAGATAGTTTTTTTATTTTTAATGCAGAGGGGAATGTCACAGCCCATGGGTATTAATTCTTCTTTTGCAATTCATATTTTTATATACTTATATAATTTTGTCAAAGGCCTATAAGAACAGATCCAATATAAATGTATTATGCGTTATTTACTAATTCTAACGCAATTGAGGATGCGTGCTGCAAATATTAGCATTGAGCAAAGCCGTATAAATCCTTTTCATTGATCAAATTATCATTTGGTTTGATTTGTTCGTATTTGTGTTCATTGAAGATATTTTGGTTCTAATTTGAGGGTTGTTGGTTTGTCTTGGTGGATTTTACTTAATGAGATTTCTCATCATGTTAGGACTCCTAGGACTCCTTTGATGTTGTTGCGCGTTTATATGAATTTTTTGATTGGTGAGGTGCTTTATTTGTGGTAGATTTTGGTTTTTTGATGTTTCATTTTAGTTATTTTTTGTTTTCCTTCTATGAGATGATGGTGTGTTGGTGAAAGTTTTATTTTTGTAATTTTGTTGTATGAGCTGGTGGTTTTGTTTTGCCCATAAAGTGTTGGTGGTTTTTTCGTGCCCATAAAGTGGAAGTGTTTTTTGTTGGGACTTTAGTGTTCGCATGGATTATTTTCGTTGATTGTTAGTTAGTGATTGTTAGTTAGTTTGTATTTGATCGGTTATAAGGAGGTTTTTGGTTCTTTGGCTTTTGTATGTTTGTGCCATTTTAAGAATTGCTCTAATTGGTAGTTTGAGCTCATCACATATATACTGTTGATATGGATTTGGATTCTCATTCTTTACTGCTGGTGCTATGGTTGTTCCTAGTGGTGTTTTTAGTTGTTTTTACTTGATTACCTATTTTCCATCCTATCAGTATAGTTTTCCAGCCTGTCGGTTTATTCCTTATTTACTGCAGATGGTTTTACTGGTGCGATCTAATTCGAGTTTAGATATTGTTTTACATTTACTGGGTTGTAGTCATTAGATATTTTTTTTCGAGCAGCCTTCAGAGTCTCATCGCGGTTTTTATATCAGAGTGCAAATATCAGCGTGAAATTAAACATATATTTCCTGTACTTTCTTAATACAAAATAATTCTATAAAATTATGCTTATTCATATATTTATTCAAATTCTTTTTTATCTGATATTTAATATTTTTGATCAAAAATCCACCGGAAATTATCAGAATAATTTATTGTTTCTACGGTTTTTTTAAAATTATATCGATATTAAATTAGAAATTTTTATTACATTTATTTATTCTTAAAATATTAAATATAAAAATTTGATAAAAAATAGAAAAATGTAAAAAATTGCTTTTACTTTAAATGTGGGAGAAATATTTTAGGCATTTAATATTTTAAAAGATCTTTTAGCTATGGCTCCACTATAGGGTGAGAGGGTGAGGGCGGGGTGGAGGTGAAGATCCTATTTGCAATCGTTGTTATAAAATTAATGATACTAAACTTCGACTTTCTAAATATATAAAACTATAAATATATAGTTTTTTCCAATCTCCATAATATAGATTTTGTCCATTTTCGTTTTTCGTCAACTGTTTTTTGCCATTTTTTATTTTTGTTTATTTGCTTTAGGCTTTTGTTTTTCATTGCTTTCTCATTCGTTATACTTAATCATTCAACTCTGATAAAAATAAATCAAATAAATAATCTATTATTACTTTCAGCATTATATATATGATGAAATATATGATATATATGATACATCTTCGCATATAGATGATTAGTGATAATTTAATGAATGAAAAGGATTTGTACGACACGCTAATCTTCACACAACGCATTCTAAACTGCGTTAGAGTTAGTAAATAAAAAATAGTACATTTATATTGACAAAATTATATAAGTATATAAGTATAAGTTATCCTTCTGTTATCCTTCGCATCTATTTGGGGACGATGCTTGAAGTTGCAACTTATTGTTTTATGGAGTTGATTTAATGAATAATAATTTAATAATTTGGCTTAATTAGTTAATTTCTGCTATAAAATTTCTTCTTCTGCCTTCTGTTATACTTCTTCTGCTTTTTGCAGAACATTTGTAGTTTGAGGGAGCCGAAAAGTCGACTGGTAGCACAAAAGGCGCATCCGCACCACCAATCAAATTTTTCTCATCTTTATTTATCAGAGGCTGCGCCAGAACCTATAATTAAAAAAATAAATTACAAGGTATCAGCGCTTCCTTAACGTTTTTATAAATTTTATTTTATTATTAATTTTAAAATACTATAATATTAATTCTATAATATTCTGTAATTGATTTATTCCTAAAGTTGCCGTTCCCCTTCCTCCTCGCCCATCTGTTTCTTTCGCATAATGTTTAAATTAATGATTAATATTAATGAGGAAAATGTTGTATTGTTTGTACAGATTTCTTACTGGATTCATTTGATAGTTTACATTAAAATAAATGTAAATTCGTAATTTTAAGTAATTTTAATACTTTTTTTTAAATGATTAACCATAATTTGATCATATGAATTAAACTAATATCACGTTTGGTTAAACAAAAGAACAGTCTAAAAAATGCAAAAATCTACACCGAACCAACCAAGATACAACGTCGATGTAAAAAACGATAAAACAAATTATCTAAATAATTTGCCCAAAGACTTATCTTTTTATAATTAGAAGTAATAATTAATGAAAACAACATTTATTTAAAAAAAAAAAGTACAAACACACTCCAAAACCCCATTCATATCAGAAACCATTAAAAAAAATAAATGATTTTGCTACCTTATATAAGCTTCACGCTAAGACAGCCATTCACCTATAAGCATCGTGCAGAAGCCAATTTACTAAACCACTGATTACAAATGCAATAAAAACTTATTAGAAACATAAAAATTACACCAAAAAATAAAAAAAATAAAGCATTTCTGAAAGCAAAAAAAACCAAAAAAAACCTAAGGCTTTTCAGCAAAAACAAAATAAACAGATACCCAGAAGAACGACCTTCAGCACCAAATCCATAAAAATCAAATTCTATAGTACCACAAATAAAAATTTTACAAAACTACAGAGCTAACTACCAGCAATCCATAAAAATTTTCACGAACAGTGAATTCAATCAAAATGGGCATAAAACTATGATAAGCTCCACAAATTTCAGAATACTGACCATAATAAAGACAAATTAAAGGAAAAAAATATAAGAAAAAAAATAATATAAAAAATAATAAAAAAAATACAAGTAAAACGAGAAATAGCACCACCAACAGCATAAATTTTGATAGAAACACAAAATAAAGCCAAAGAATGAATAATATTCTTCAGAACCAATCAAAAAACCACTCCTAACTCCCCTAGGAATAACACAACGATTATCTACATCTAATAAATCCTCTATCCCCTAATGACATATCCTCACTAGACAAAGTATAAGAATCAAATCATACACTGCCAGAATAATCAGAATACTCTTAACTCCAACATCACTGATAACCAACACCAACATTCAAATCCTTACTAAAATCCTTCATTACCATATACTTATACAAAGTCAAATTACAATTACGAAGTCAAAAAAAGATCAAAACCATCAAAATCAACAAATTGAAAGAAGGAAAAATACGACAAAAAAACTCAACAGAACGATAATCATCCTCAAACCTCTTATAACAATAACGTCTACCAATATGACTATAAAACAAAAAAACTACAAACACCAAAATCATCAAAAGAAAAACCAAAACAATGAAACCAACCTATAGTAGAAGACACATATCTAACCACTAAAACCATGAAAAAAGGATCCCAACAACTCCTAAACCGCATGATTGGAAATCAAATATACTAAATTATATTAAGAACTCAAAAGGATCAAAACCAGAATAAAGACAATGAACCATAGTAAATTATATTGAAATTCCTAACGAATCATCAAGACTTACCCCTATTCTAATTCGCTAAACTCCAAAAACCATTCTATCTGCAATAAAAAATAAAAGATAGAAAATATTCTAAAAGAACTAAAACATCTTACAATTCCACCTATAACAAACCTATTCCTGATAACTATGAGAAAAAAACCACTATAACCCTTCTCTAAACCAATACTATTACAATAATAATATACAAAAAGAACGACCAAAAATAAAAATAAGAAAAAGAAATAACATTACAAAAAGAATAAATATCTGGATAATCAAGAAATTTATGAGGAAAACCATGCAAATCAGTAGAATGCAAAAGAAAAAAGTCAAATTGGCACCCACAAAAACCACAAAAAAAGCCACTCTCATAAAAATTTTATAATAAGCAAAACCAGTCAAAAAAGTCCATCAAAGACTAACAGCATAAAAAATACCAAAAACAGTGTTCAGTGGCTTTTTACTGGTGCGATCTGATTCTGATTCTGAAAACATAATAAAAACGACTACTGACTACAACACAGTAATATAAACAACATCTAAACTAGAATCAGATCGCACCAGTAAAAAGCCATTCAGAAATAAAACCGACAGGCTGGAAAACTATCCGCATACCATGCAAAATAGATAAACAACTAAAAACCTTAGTACCAGTAGGAACAGTAATAACCACAGCAGCAGCAGAAAAGCACGAGAATCCAAAACCATACCAACAGTATATATGTGATGAGCTCAAACTACCAATTAAAGCAATTGCTTAAGCAATTCTTAAAATGGCATAAATCATATCTAAAGAACCAAAAACCTCCTTAACCTCCTTACCAGTCAAATACAAATCACTCTAACCAACAATACCAAAAGCAGGTAAAATTAAAACAGGTAAAATTAAACGTCAGGACAACCAAAAAACCAAAACCAGGCTTACACAGCACGAATAAAAAAAGAAAAACCAACATCAGCCATACCAGACCGAAAACCAAAATTCAAATATAAAGAACGAATATCCTGATGATTTATTCTCTCAAACCAAACATTATTTATAATCAAACAAAACACTATTTATAATCAAACAAAAACAAAAGAACCTAATCAACGAAAACAATCCATGCAAATACAAATCAATTATACTAAAATCAACAAGAAACACCTCTAAAATATTAGGGGTACAACAAACCCACCACCTTATACAACAAAATTACAAAAATAAGACTCTCCAACACCAACACCATCATCTCATAAACGAAAAACAAAAAATAACTAAAATTAAACATGAAAGAACCAAAACCTAAAACCAATAAAACACCTCACCAATCAAAAAATTCACGCGCAACAACATAACTAAAGGAGTCCTAACATGATGAGAAATCTCACTAAGTAAAATCCATCAAGACAAGCCAACAACCCTCAAATTAGAACCAAAATAACTTCAATGAATACGAACACGAACAAATACAAAACAAATTAACGATAAATTCGATCAATAGAAAGGATTTGTACGGCTTTGCTCAATTCTAATCTTCCCAGCACGCATCCTTAATTGCTAGAGTTAGTAAGTAACGTACATTTAGCACATTTATATTGGATTTGATCTGTTCTTATAGGCCTTTGATAAAATTATATTAGTATATAAAAGTATAAGTTGCAAATGAAGAATTAATATCCACGTTGTGAGCTGTGGCATTTCCCTGTGCATTAAAAGTGAAAAAACTATCTTACTTCACTAATAAATACTAAGTTAGAGTTAATAAATATGGTGCATTAAGGAAATTTCGCTTAAATGTAACGACAAAATAGCGACGAAGAGAATACAAATCGACATAATAGCGAGAAAAAACATACGGTAATTTTATAAAATTTAATGTATTTCTTTCAATTCCTTTGAACTGAAATTTCGAAATAATAGGAAAAAAGATTATAAAAGTGATGAAAATAAAAACATGGCACTCGTTTTTAATATTCTTTACTGTTATTATTGTTTATTATTATTCACAAATTATTTATTATTTTATATTTAATTACTTAAACAGGAAGATGTAAAATAAACTATTTCAGAATTTTAGAATATCACAGAATTTACCAAAAAAATTCAATAAAAGTATTAATCAGAGGAAACTGCAAATAGTGTAACAATATAATAAATTTTATTATAAGTCTAAGTCTATTATAAAATACAAATAAATACAAATAAACTGATAATAATTAATGTCGATGGAATCGTTAATTCAAACAAAAATAATGGAAATGCTGACAAAAAAAATTTTAAAAAAACCCCTCCCTGCGAAACAATGAAGTACCACAGCGAGAAGAAAATTTTAAATGATAAAATTGGAGAATATCGCTTCAAGAGTAAATATATTGAAAAGGAAATTTTAAAAGCACAAAATTTTCCACGATTTTGTCAGTTTGTAGTAAACGAAATAATGAATTGAATCAATAATAATGAAGTGAATTTATCAAGATTGCTGTAAAATCTTTTATCAACTTAACTTTTATTGGTTGAAATCGCGAGGCAACATTTTTTTATTTTTTATTTTTTCACAATCAAAATCTGCTATCATTTGCTATCACTACCATTCGATTCCTTCGAATAGTTTTCAGGCAAGCCATTGCTGAACCAAGTATCATTAGCTCTGTTCAGTTAATGGAGACCAACTGTAGCCAATATGTGGTTTTATGTCTCGTATTATGCATTTCGTGGCTATTATGTCGCCCATTTGGGTATCTAAATGAATTCTCTATTAATATTTGTGAAAATGAATTATCTGCTGAAAAGAAAGAAATGATGGAGGGTGGTATTATTGGAAGTCAAATTATTCATAATTATGAAATTCCAGGCGATGGCGATAGAAGGATAAAGTAAGTGCGAATGAATGAAACTTATCATTAAAAATTAAGCACTGGTTATTAGTGCTAAGAAAGTACCACAAAGGAATGTATCATTACACTTAGGACTTCGTCAAAGAAAATCAAAAATCGTGTGTACAAAATCTGCGATGGTTGGCGTCAAAAATGAGGAAGGCTAATCATGACCTGGCCACAGTCAAAGACTTTGAACGAATGGGAGAACTAGCGATATATGGACGTGGGCGATGAAAAATGGAATGGCTTACCAGTAGCAATGACGTCGAATCGAGCTGCTTGAGCGTCTTACTGCTGTAGCTAGTGAAGTCAGCCTAACCAGTAGTGGTGAGAATTTTTAGAAGAAGAAGGCCACTGAGCTAATACACTTCGTTAAATGACTCGATGTCAAAAATTTCTTATCGTAAGCCTTAAAGCCATTGAAAAAAAACTAATTAGAAATGGCGAATACTAAACTCTATTAAAATTGATAAATTGATAAAAAAAAGAAATATTGATTGTACGTTTGCTTTAAAAAGTGGAATAAAAAAAATTTTAGAAAAATTTTTTGCAAATCTCATGCTAAGCGTCTTGAAAAATTTCGCAAAAAAAATTGTGCAATAATAAATTTCTTATTAACGAAAACAAATGTATCAAGCAATTTGAAAAAAAAAAAAAAAAAAATAGCGAAACGTTGAATTACAATTCGAAACTTCCTAACCCGCACATTGGTCAGCTGTTGGCCACGGCAAAACCAAAATAATTATTGGAACCAACACATGTCGCTTAGTGTCATTTCGTTCTCTTTTAAACTCTTTTCAGCAGTATTTTCAAATGAATTGATGTTTTAATCATGAATAGCTAATAAATATAGAAATTAAGGAAATTATAAACGATTGTAAAATTTATTATTCTCACTGTAGAGTTGTCCTCACCTATTCCCACTGCAGGAGGACCTCAATAGAATAGCCAGCTGGCTATATGACAGGCAAATTGCCCTTTCTTTTGAAAAATGTGACGTTCTTCATATCAATTCTAAAGGATTCGATTTTCTTAATCTTTTTATTAATGGCAATGTAATCACAAGAAATCCACACATTTCTTACCTTGGAATAATCATGGATGAAAATCTCGACTTTCATGCAGAACTATTGTAGAGATATCTTCAAAGATGAAAATTTTGAAAATTAAAATTAAAATTTTTATTAAAATTTTGAAAAATTTTTTACACCAATTTTAATGTTAAAATCGTTTAAAATTATATTTTTTGAATGGTTAAAACGGTGTTAATAAATTTTTGATTTTAGTGATTTTAATAGTGATTTAATAGTGATATTTTAGTGAATAGATTTTTTATAAAAATGTTATTTTTTTAAAATTTCACCAAGCATTTGATTGGAAATCCCACTTGTAAACGATCGATTAATTTTACTGATAACTGATCCTTAATTGACTTGAAAATAAAGCAATATTATTTATTTTTATTTATCATTTTTCTGCCATTAAAATTTCAGAAGGATGGCTTGTTTACCGCAATTTACGAACTTCTGCGATATAGTAGGAAATAAAACCTCCCTAAAAAAAAGAATTAGATGAAAGGCGAGAATTCTTGGAATTCTTTTTATCTATTTTTAATCTCTTTATAATATTGTAATATTATTAAATAATTATATATACACAAAAGCAAATCATTTATCTTTTATAAACTATAAAAACAATTATAGAAAAAAAAACTATCTTTAAACTA